AGATTGAAGTTACAAGGTAAATGCGGGTCACGTGCTCATGTTAAACAGTTATTCAATCCACGTGTTCACATCTGAAACGTATAGGCGCACTTACATGTGTTTATGCAAATGTGCACATAGCACGATGACGTACTTACATGTTTGTTGCCGTGTGATCGCTGCGAGTTCACACCGAGGTAACTAATTGACAAGTCATGAACAAATAATAAAAAAAAAAAAACATGAAGTACGATAGTGTTCGTAAGTTACGATCACGGAAAACACCGATTAATTTTCAAATTATGATCGGAGTTGCTCTATGTGTTGCATGTCGTATAGACTATAATTATTGTTCGTAACATTTGTGAATGAAAACATCCGCCATTTTGTTCATTCTAGTTCGTACATTAGTTGTTCAAATACCTATTAAGTACACTACAGCTTGGCAGGCAATGTTGGATTTGAAAGAAAAACGCTTATTCGCTTGTCACAACCTTTGGGTATGTATTTAAATCGGAGAACGAACGAGCCGATATGATGCAGACGTAACTGAACACGTGCACCAGAAACCCGCATATCACATCGACAAACGGCAAGCATTCTAATCTAAATCAAATCGCCCAGATCGCATCCATAAATGCGATGACATCGGTATATTAAAGTTCATGTGTGTTGTTCATTTGTTTGTTTTTATTTGAACAGATCATCGTATATTATTCTGCATATTCAAATCCGCAACTGTTATCGTATTCGTCACATGTGGGTATTTTTTTAAATCGGAGTAAAACATCTTAGGATCTATATACACGGAAAATCCACAAACGTGACTATGTAGGTCATGTTATACGTCATGTTTGTGCATATGTGATTCACAAACGCCATTATGTTGCCAGATACTCGTACGGTTTTTTATGTTTGTGACATATATAATCCACATCCGTAACTAAGTTGGCCATGTACCTGCATGGAATGTGCGTGTATGTGTACATTTAATTCACAGAAACAGTTAGCCATGTACATGTATTTGTACTCGTGCGTCGTGTGTGCACATATACTTCACAAAGGTAACTATATTGTCCATGTACTCGTGCGTCATGTGTGTGCACATATACTTCACAGAAGTAACTACGCTGTTCATGTACTCGTGCGTCATATGTGTGCACATATACTTCACAAAAGTAACTATGTTGCCCATGTACTTGTGCGTCATGTGTGTGCACATATACTTCACAAAGGTAACTATATTGTACATGTACTCGTGCGTCGTGTGTGCACATATACTTCACAAAGGTAACTATGTTTCCCATGTACTCGTGCGTCGTGTGTGCACATATACTTCACAAAGGTAACTATGTTGCCCATGTACTCGTGCGTCATATGTGTGCACATATACTTCACAAAGGTAACTATGTTGCCCATGTACTCGTGCGTCATATGTGTGCACATATACTTCACAAAGGTAACTATGTTGCACATGTACTCGTGCGTCATGTGTGTGCACATATACTTCACAAAAGTAACTATGTTGCCCATGTACTCGTGCGTCATATTTGTGTACATATACTTTACATAGATAACTATGTCGTCCATGTTCTCGTGCGTCATGTGTGTGCACATATACTTCACAAAAGTAACTACGCTGTCCATGTACTCGTGCGTCATGTGTGTGCACATATACTTCACAGAGGTAACTATGTTGCCCATGTACTCGTGCGTCATATTTGTGTACATATACTTTACACATGTGACTATGTTGTCTGGGTACTCGTGAGTCATATTAGCGCACATATACTTCACACACGTAACTATGTGTTCCGTGTACTCGTGTTGTTTGTGCACATAGAATGCACACACGTTTTGCATTTGCTCGTTCATCGTGTTAGTACACATAAACTTCACAAAGGTTATATTGTCCATGTACTCGCGCGTCATGTTTGTGCACATATACTTTACATAGGTAACTATGTTGTCCATGTACTCATGGGTCATGTTAGTGTACATATACTTAACATAGGTAACTATGTTGTCTGGGTACTCGTGTGTCATGTTTGTGTGCACATATACTTCACACAGGTAACTATGTTTTTCGTGTACTCGTGTTGTTTGTGCACACATAATGCACACATGTTTTTCTTTTGCTCGTTCATCGTTTTAGTACACATATACTTCACAAAGGTAACTATGTTGTCTATGCACTCTTATGTCATGTCTGTGCATATGTGCGTCATGCCAGTACGACTGTTGCACAAGAGTAAATCATTGTATGTGCTAGTGCACACATAATTCGCAAACGTATGTACATTTGGATCAGATTAATTACTATAATGTGCACATCGTGGAATTAAAACCTGTACGTATGTTGACCTTTTTCATCAGAGAAAATGATCATAAGTAAACACGTTTGGCATGTCCGGCATCAAACCATTGTGTGAGCGTATGTAGTTTAGTGACGTGACTATGTTGGTAATGTACCATAAAACAATTGAGTACAAACCATCGTAAGTGCATATACATAGAAGTACGCATATGCATAGTACGTTCCCCTAAAACAACTAGTGTGCAGCAAATACTAAAACGCCGATATCAGAAATGTTATTTTACATAATGCAAGAGTTTGATTTACGATGCGTCTCTAGCTCCTCCAGTTCAGTGGGGATTTTGACCTGCCTATTTCACCTATGACTCGCGAAGTATTATCAAGAACAACAGATACGCTTATGTCTTTCTAAATACGGGGTACTCTAAAGTGCGGTTGCAGAATGGTCATCACTGATGACCACTAATACTTCGATCTATGAGGGCAAAGGATACACAGGACTATATAAGCACGATAAGGTACTGAAGCGCAGACAGAGTATTCGCGTTCCAAATCCCTACAAGCAAAATGTGATCCACATGCAAAAGAGTGTATACTAAACACTTGCAAAAGGTGCATTACATAACCTAATGCGAGATGTGTTTAGACTTGAGCAAGTGAACATAGATGCTCATGCATCCGTATACACATGGCATATAATAAAAGTGATTCGTGTAAGCAAAAGACAATAGTTCGATCCAGTTACGTCACGTCTGGTCGGATATACTCTCAATAACGACGCCCGTAAACAAATTACCTACGCCAATGTTACGGTTGCGTTTTGTTAAACGTACGTAACGATGCTATGTCCTTGTTAAATCATAGACCCGAGGGTCGATGTTTTAATTAATACTAAGTACTGCTTCAGTCTGTGACATGGCAGTAATTACTATTTCTACGCGAGCCATCCGACAGCACAGAGGTTGGTAATACATAGATGATATATATCTACGTGTTTACGGATCTAGTCCTGGATATACGTCATGACAAATAATAATACATTTCGTAAACAAGTCTACTGTTTTAATGATTTCTGTCAAAGAGTGTATAATGTACGTGCAAATTGACCATCAAAAATACAAAATTATAATGAAAAAAAAGCCCCGGGATCCCTTACAACAAGAACGAGTACAATGGTTCGAGAATGTCAAGGTCATGTACTTCTCGAGCCAGAATACACACCTTCATATATATCACAAAACCCCTAACATATGTGTGACACGGTAGGCATGTTGTATGATTAAAGGCGTTTCACAAAAATGGCCACCGATGTCGTCATATCATGACTGAGGCTACGTGCTTATCGTGGTCAATCGTACCAGGGAATAACATCCCGAGTAAATACGCTCATAGAACGTAAATGTACTGGGGCAGCGGCAACGTATTACGTTGGGTCCAAAACAAGAAGCGGTCACATCAATCTAGTTAAACACATCTGCGCGTTGACCGAATGGCTGCCACGAATACTCGATCGATCGATCGATTAGAAATTACGATAGGTGAACCATTGGTACAATTTATCCCGTCGTGTTAGTTAAAATTATATGAATAACAATGTAAAAAAAGCAACCCCCCCCCCCGAATGTGATTTTTCTCCATGGAAAAAATAAATCAATTAGATGTAGCGCGAACGTGTATAAGAGAAGTAAGACGCGATCGGGCGTTGTCAAGTGGGTTACGACTATAGAACCCCCATTAGCTTTTCGATCGATATGATCAGCTATTTGGTTTCAACCACGTCCTTCTTTAATGGACATTTAGGCGAACAAGACCGTCTTACGTACCTCAGTTGGGTACAACGACGTACCGGAGCTTTCAAATTGTGCCGTATGGAAACTCTCGCCCACGAAACAATATTTAAGTAACTTTATATACGGAAGCAGAAGCATAACGAAGTATTTTCACGCAAAAATTGCGAAAATTGACGCCATCGTACTGGATATCTCTGTATACGTCTCCTTGAAACTGTCATGGCTACCATATGACATAAGCGAATATTGTTTTAGGAAAATTACCTATACGAAGACGCGAAATTTTTTTAATTGCATTGGAATTCGAGAATGGATGAGTTCTTATTCTTAGGGATAAAAAACTGTCTCGATTAAAACTAAAAGTGAATCCCGAAACAATTAATACGCCGAATAAAGCACATTTATTGATTCCGTTCATTTTGTTGCGTGGTCCTGACGAATTTCTAAAAAAAATGACCACGTCACGCCAACACACTTTACCAACCATCCTGAACTATGCAACAGCCGTAGCAATAATATCCAAACCAGCAATGTTTCGTACACTCGATACGCATCATCGGGATACGATCACGATCGTGATATTGCCGCACAGTGAAATTAGTGCAAAATTAAGTCACGAGTGAACACTCTGGAAGCATGTCCTAAATCGGCAAGTATTTTAGAGTGACACAACCACGACAGCCCCGACATAGTATGGCCCGGATACAAAATGCTGTTCAGCACGGAATAATAAGTAAACAACAACGCTCCTTTTTTAATTGTGGAGAACCGCCATTTCTGTCCTTGGGGTCGTACTAAACTCGTGCGAAATTACCAGATATTAAACTTGAAAAATTCCGATGCCCCCATCCGCGGTAAGCCCAAAACACATGCTGTTTCGAAGCCCAAACTCGCGTATGACCGACTGTACAAACCTGTGTCGTCCCTTCTTTTGGATTGTCAGCACTAGCCACGTCTTCCGAACTTCCCGATTTCAACGTTGCATGTGATCTACGGTCGAAAGAAATATGTGTTAATACTAGATTCGAGCTACATAAGTTCAAATAAAATACGGAACACGCGTCGAGACACATCGTGAGCAAATAGCCTCCCATCGAAACTTCGAACTGTGCAAAACTGCATTATATCTCCACTTACAAACTGTTTTTTGTCCGAACATTGTCGAGACCAGAGGGGTCTTTGTCAGCACTGACACCTAAAATGTCCCAGATATTCCGGGAGGATCGTCCAGCCATGTTCTAAGGAGTAAATGTAAGGCATGGAGAGCACGACTGGATCGTATCTGAATACGAGTTGGTCACAGCCCTCGTATCGCGCCAACACAAAGGTTTCTACCGAGCCGAACTTTCGAATTGTTAAAGCACCATGGCACGTGAGAATTCACTCCGAGGTCGCTAATTTTTTACCTAAACATTCACATGTGTGTCGAACGTCAGCCTTCAGGGGGAGTGAGCATGAATATTTTCACTTCAACTAATCGCTGCTATTCTGTTCAAAGAGTGCGATTACGTAATGGAGCCATCTTTTGTCTCTTTGCCTCAATTAATTATGATTGAGAATGTATATTCTCCCTAGGTGGAAAGAAATCCCGTGATCCTTAGCTCAAAATGGCTGCCGTGAAACCGGGATCGATATTCTTCCTCTTCGTGGTGTTATTTCTCAGCTTTGGTAAGACCGACATTTGATAATTTTTTGTACAGTGATATACAATATTTTCACGAATGTGTCTGTGGAAAATCGTTGCTATATTGTGTATATTTATGATTTTACGCGCTGTTCAATTTTGACCTTGAAAAATGCACAGCGTTTCTGTTCGTATTGTGAATGTGATTTCAGCGTTAGGTATCGAGATAAGAAAAACAGACTAAGCAATTCGAATGTGTGCACTAGTTGTAAAGCATTTAACATCTGGTCTACGTAGGAGAGTTATTTTGAAAAAAATATACTAGTATTTATCATGTTTATTTTTCTGATATATAGTGATTATCTATACTACTATGTATGTACGTGGTTGCGCTGCTGTGATGTGACGATGAATCATAACTATAATAATACACCACTATGTGCAGTAGCAGTAGTAAAATAATGTCGCATTTTTTATAATATACCCCGACAATATTTTATTTATGACAATCTCGCTATTTTTTTTTAAGTGTGCCGATTATTATAAATATTCGTACATGTTCTGATGAGTCCCCCTTTATTTTGGGAAAGGCTATTTTTAGACACGGTTTAACATGCATGCGGGCTCACGTGCTCGTATATCTGTGAGCTGTTTCCATTGTATTAAGATGTACGTACCATGGACATCATCGTCACCAGTGGAGTTGCAAATTGAACCGAATCTGCTGTCTGCATGACTGTAAAATCCCCGTTTACCATTGAAACTTGAAAGGGGGTGCCTCGGTTTAATGCCCCATCTCCATACTGTCTATGGCGGTAATTACCATAGTGACCATCGTAATTGTGTTATTTTGGTGTGTGGTGCGAACTTTGGCACGGACTGATCTTGCACAAAGGACTCCAAAAATGACTGCCTATCGCGGTGTAAGTTTTGTCACAGTCCCTCTATAATCTACATATTGGCCGTGGTCGTGTAACAATTAAGGCCAGGGACAGTTTCACACCTCCCAATAATAACTGCTAGGAGCAACTGACTTACAACAACACCAACAATCATCTATACCACAACCACCACAATCATCTATACCACAACAGACGCATTTTGCTCAGAAGCGACATACCATAGTACTTTCTCAACAAGTGTCGACATGTGAAGTACTTAAAAAACATCAGGGTTCATCATTGATATTAGTGCCGTGGGTAGAAAATGCCCATCACCCGCATGATGGCAGTTTCTATATATCACACACCACGAATCAATTTGAACCCACTGTCATTTTTTACTTTCGATATTTTGCTGGCTTTCACGGGGATTGCCACTTGAAGCATCCAAGAAAATAACCACTGCTACAAATTCCCCTACTCTTGAAATCCTCACAATTTGTTGCTCGTGAAGAAGATAGCACAGTTTTGTATTTTCGTATTCAATTCTATATGATCATGGACGTACGTCCATGGTCTAATCAACCTACGGGCAACGGGTTGTTTTCTGCCCGCAATCACGAGGAGTATTAATACCAGAGCCATTTATTACATTTAACTATCCGCTATGCTTTATCACGTAACACGTGACACCACCAGCCAAAACTGATGTCCATGGTACACATGGTCTGTAGATTATATTTGAAAAGTTTTAAAGTATTAATCCTCATTTTTATAAAGTTGATCCGAGTCAACATTGTTTCTGTTTGCTCAAACTTCACAAACGAATTTGGTTCGGTTTAGACTCAGTTTACTTGATTACAAGCATTGCGTAGTTATGTTAAAATATTACTAAAACTATATTTGTTAGGTAGGTTGGGACCAAACTAAAGGTTGCACCCGTTCATTCTTTCATTATTACTATTGGTTTATATCACCAGGTTACCAAAAATAAAAAATAGGAGTCACCCGGAGTCAGAAAAAAAGTTATGGATAATGGCTAAAATTTGGATTTTTTTTAAAAAAACTGGTTTCACTATGATGACATTATTTGTTCGTATCTCAAAGTTTTACCGGTTAATATTGGTTAAACATTTCAATAGCAAAATTTTCTATCATAATTCATTGTACATATGTGATATGTGAAGTAACCTGCCCTGTAGTGGAAACAAATGAATTCCTCTAATAATTACTCAAAAGAGAACACGTTACCTCCACTGCATTGAAGTGTGATATTTGTACTGATTTGACAAGCGTGTCTGTCTACTCAATTCGAAATACGCATTTTCAGAAAAAGAATCAGTCACGTTCACCACATACATGGATAATATTTTAAACAGGCAATGTGGAGGACTTTTTGACCATGTTTAAATATTTCCCCACAACATTACGTCTTGGGCGAATGAGATATCTGCGGTCATTTGCGTATGAGGTCAATTATAAGGTCAAGGTCAATGTGTTCAATATTTCATTGGACGAATACTGCTACGTTTGGTTGCAAAGCGTCGTTTTTATTTTACGATAAATCATATTTTAATGTTTTTATCGTTTTTTCAAACAAGTAAATGGTCAAAAATGCACGTATTTATCCATATGCTGTTTAAAGTGGGAAGGTCGTCACCTGCGCACGCGAGGGAGTTGAGTCCCAAGCGACGATAACAACACACTATAAAAAGCAACGGCTCATGGGTAGACGCTTGTTTGTAAACAATGACACGCTATGGCGATCTGACGCATGCGCAGTTGACGACTCTCCCGCTTTAAGATTTGAGCGAGTCAGATAAACGTAGTTGCTCATTAACCGCTGAATCTCAAAGAATCGTCATATTTATGCCTCCGATGATTTATCATGACGCCATGCGGTTTGTCAAACACCATACAAAATAAAATTGTTAGATTTTGTGTTGTCGTTTTCGCGGTCACATGCGCATTTCAGGTCTGACACTCAAGTACGTGTCAATTCCATCCGCTGATTTTGTTGTGAAATATAACAGCCGGAGATTTGTATTGTGGAAGTACGTCAGTGCATTTGCATTCAAGTTCAATAATTTAATCTGGCGTGATTAAAAATCGGAATGATTTATCACGTGGAAAATATTCATGTTTTATTAGTATTCAGTCACACACTTAACCCATTCGGTGTTCGTGCTCGAAACCATATCAACGCTAATGGGGAACGGAGGGCAGATTTTTTTTATGCTTTATTATTATCATTTACATTTTATTGCCGCAGTGGATCACAATTTGTCTGTAAGCATGCTTTCGGACACTCCCCCTTTTGTCAGCAGCGTTTTGGAACTGTGCTATAGCACTTATAGCCTTGATTCATTAGGGCTTGTAGGTCCATCACTCAGTTATTGGGGTGAGAAGAAGGCCTTGTTTTTGCGTATGACAATATAAATGTTTCCGATACAGAGTAGTGTATATAGATCGTAGTGAGTGATGTCAATATGGAACAGGGTCTTATAATCGACCATTTATGCACAGATGGTTTGTTCTTTTATTATGTTACAATTGTAGGTTGACTGACGGATAGAAATTATAATCAGTACATGATATAGCCGATTATACGGCCGACGTAGTGTCTGGGTCACAATGCTACATTTACAATTATAACAAATAACATAAACATGTCCTAAGGGCGGTGGTGGTACGCACCACGGAGAACTCGTACAAAAGACCCGTACATTGTGACGTAATTTATGTTCGTATCTTTCTACCGGTATGTTTACCAACGTACATTTTGGTAGGTATCCAGTCGGCATGCAGCCATAGTTTAACCCGCCCTAGGACGCTCTCCCATTTCTTTGTTATTGATTTCACTATCCGTTGCGTTGTTGTTGATGGTGTTATAAACACTAGATTAAGACTACTCGTTGGCGCTGGACCACTACGTGCCAGTAATTCAAATCGCATGCGCAGTTGCATCGAACGAATACTACTGGTATTGTGCGGACAAACACTAACACTTTCTGTATACCGTGCCGTATACGGTAGTCGTAATTCAGTGTGCATTTTTAATTACATATAATATGTATACCATACAGGGTGTAAGCATTATCTAAGAGTAATGTTGATGATTTAGATTATTACAGCCTAAAAATTGTAAATTGGCATCTATCACGACGTACTCGTATACATTAAACAAAACTTGTTTAAACGATTATGGTGCACTGTTACTGTGGGCATAGTTTTTAATGTACAGTATCCTTCTCTGTATAGTTGGCATATACACACGTTTCAGTGTGAACTTCTGCTCACCCTACTAAGATATGAAATCTTTGTCGTGCATGGTGAGCAAATTGCGCTCTCCAATTGAAATAGAAAATTGATTGTGGTAATGGCATGAGTGTAATACATCATGTTGTGAGCATGCGAATCAGTAGATCAAATCAAAGTGCACGAGTCTGGTCGTTATGTTCCTCGACACAAATGCCTCCCCTCCCATAGAATTTAATACATTTTTGATGTTGCATTGTTCCTGGCGAGACATATTTTACATATTTTTTTATTTATACTTGGCCATTAGTTTGCTCATTTATTCAACACAAGGAACTTCTCACTGTTTCCGGATTTTGGTGAGCAATGTATCAACCTTATTTAGCGAAAAAAGCTGTGTTTTCTGCGAACTTAGAGAAAAAAATGTCATTGGAAATAACCACATCGGTAATAATAATAACATCAATGATGATAGTAATAAATATACAAAACGACAATTTGGTCAACTTTTCAATATCGTAATTAGGTCACCCGAAAGCACGTCGTTATTTAACATCTGTATGATCAAAAATGCTTTCTTTAAATGAACACGTAGAAAACACCATGGCAACAGTATAATTGCATTGGTTGCAACTTGTACAAGTTGCATTACCATCGATAGTTGCATGGAGTGAACAACATTAGGGATAAGAAACAAAGACATTCAGTTATCGTGGTGCATGTTTTCCTGTATGCTAATTCACTTGTGATTGGTGTCAATGAACGCGAAATGCACGTGATGTACCTCCTGGTCTATTGAAAATGTTACTCAATTCAACCATGGAGCTCAGTGGGTCAACAGAAATGGTTTGTGTACAAATAACTTGCATTTTGAAGAAAGCTTCACACGAATTGTTACCTTTCGC